TAAAAATATTTACTAGAATATTCAGTGTGCAAAATCCACTCTATATGCACTAAGAGAGAAAAATGATTGATTATCATAATTGGTTTGCTATAATTGATGTACTATAATTACCATAATTGCTTTGATATAATTATTATAATTGGTTACTATAATTGTTGATTAACTATAATTAAAATTATAGTTATTTTCGTAGTATTAGAGCATGCATACAAGGTTATTATTTTTTTCTCAGTGCGAATGACTCGGCGATTACTCCGCTTTCCGAGTAAAGTTTTACTCCAGGAAACTTAGAGAGCACGTCCTCGACGGCGCGAATTCGCGTTTTTTGGTGCTTGCATTACTATAAGATCGTGTCCTCGAAACACTGCCTGTATATAAATCATTGTCTCACACTAATACTCTCGGCTGTAACAATCGAGCACATATAAATATAAAATTGCTCATCGGCAGACGTTCCGTCTCTCCTTTATCCGCGTCGCCTACGTTTAGTACATTCAGCGTGAATAAAGCGCGGCCGAGATCACAGCGTTGCGCGCGAGAAAAGACGTGCTTGGATGCTCACGCTAAAAATGAACGCGCAATGCGGTAAATCCAGTTAAATCAGCTTGAAAACTGTCCTGAGCACAAGTCCGATACCGACGCGAAGATTTTACGCTCTTAACACTATAAACACTGAGCGGTCATGTTTCCGGCCATTTTCGCTTTTAAAGTAATACCTTATTTTTCGTGTGAAAGATATAACTGAACTGAATGCTCCATCAGAATAAAGGAGGCATTTAACGAAAAGTTCGAGAATTTCGAAATTCCGTTTTTCGCGCAAGAAACAGAGTATTATTTAAAAAAATGAAAGAGCAGAAATAAACCGCTTAGTGTTCTAATATTGAGTCGCATGTGTCATAAGATAATGTAACATCTCATTATTAGAATTAGTATGTTTTCCTCCAATTTGCATAGCCAAGAAGGGGACTTGGTTTATAATTATGTTCCTTAACCACACACCTCCATCTATTTTTTTTCACCTATTTAGTTACTAATATCCCTAGTTACATTATATTGCCTCTCTCTAATTGACTTTACAATATCATTATCGTTATTCTTAATATTCTTGTAATCTCCTTTAATAATTTTCTTAATTTGTATCTATCTATTCTTAATTTGTATCTATATATATACTCATTCTTATATTCCTTATCTTATTCTTTATACTTAAAGACCTGAAGACACTAAAATTATTCCAAATTCATGCACCACGTTAATCAGGCATCCACATTTGTACTCTATCTAACCAAGTCCTATTACATCTTACAAGTAAATTTACCCAAAAGTTATACCCCGATTTCTTTCTAGCTTGACACAAATGTAGAAGTACAAAAAATATTTAAATCATATTTTTTCATTTTGTCCTACTTTGAGTTTCACGGGCAGTTTATAAAGTTTTCACTCCTATCATCAACAAGTGCAATAAAAATGCATAAGAAATAAAATTGAATACAAGATATAGGCGTTTTTGGTTTGCTGATTACGAATATGAAGTCAAATGTGTAAAATTATTTGTATATAAATAATAAAACGTTCAAATAAAATATGTAAAAAGTTGAAAAAAAAATTATTTATACAAATAATTTTTCGGTTTGGCCGAGATTCAAACCATTTTTTACTAATTTAGCACAGATTTAAAATATTTCGATTGGAATCTCGGCTAAAGAAATTTAGAATGGTTCGTGTCTCAGTTATGTCGATTTTGTTAAAATTATTTAACTATATATATCTTATATTCAATTTTATTTCTTATGTATTTTGTTGCACTTCTTGATAATAAGAGTGAGAACATTAAAAAGCTATAAACTGCCCGTGAAACTCAAAGTGAAAAATAAAAAATAGCCAAAATAAAAAATATTACTTAAATATTTTTTGTACTTCTACATTTGTGCCAAATTGAACAAAAATCATAATATTGGGTAGGTTTACTTGTTAGTCAAACATAAAAGAAAAAATAGAAAAAAAGGAGGAAAAACGTGAAATTAAACTCGTGACAATTGAGTCGAGCAATTGGTTTTAATGTCTACGTAACTCTGTGAGTTATCGAGATCGTTTTTTAATTCGTCCTTGTGGCAAAAGATTAATATTGACAGCACGATGGTACACTATCTCACAGTAGAGAAAGATGTACGCTTGTAAACGTTCCGATCAGCGTGGAAATTGTAACTCGGAGGACAAGTTGGCTCGCTGATTCATTCGTGATGTAACGAATGGCCGTTTCATCACCGTACAACTATCAAACTTCGCCGAAGTTCTCGGGCTGTACGCGACCCCTCTCTCTGGTTTACATCAAACTCACGTACATCCCGAGAACTATTAAGAAGCAGTTAGGACCCGATGTGAGCGTGAACTTTGCATTACATTACGCGACACATTGTACTTTCTGACGATTCTATCAGCCGATTCAATGAAAAAGAAAAGAAAAAAAAGGGAATAATTTCCAGCGATCAGAAGGATGGAAATCTGACGTTGTATCAAGTGAGATGCTCAAAATGTGAGACATTTGTAGAAATAATCCGGAATACATCCGTACGGAAAAAACAATTTCAGTTCTTGTAACTGAATGGGGACCAGAAATTCGCTGACGAGAAATATCTCTGAGATAACCGAGAGCAATTGGCTAAGTGGAAACCTCCTACAGGCATCCTTCTGTTCCTACAACCGAGTTTTTTATCTGATCCCGAAGTAACGGAAAATTCAGTTACACTAACGGAGTTGCCTTTTCCGTGTGAGGATTGCCTGATCGCTTTCGACGGTGATCCGATCTCGTTGTAATTAATAGGAATTGACAGAGGTGAATATAGGGAAAAAAGATAAAAACGTTCCTGGGTGTCCGCAAGAAGAGAATTCGTCGAGCGTGCTCGACCGAGCGTTGTGAGCATTCTGTTAAAAGTTCGATCAGACATACACAGGACAGCAGACTCGAGTGCGGCTCGTTTTGAAAAGTACACTCGTGTGAATCGCGTAAGTAACGAGAAGCAATTGTGACGTCCGTCCACACGAAATTCCACACATTCCACCGACAACACATCGACGATTTGCGTTCTTTTCTACACTCGACACCTCAGCACCGTGTGTACGCATCGAGTGTTTCTCACAGACACATGCATACGCACGCACGCACACACACACACACACACACACACACACACACACACACACACACACACACACACACACACACACACA